ACACACAATCTCTCTGCCTCTCTCTCTCTCTCTCCCCCTCCGTCTTCTCTCTCTCTCTCCCCTTCTGTTTTTCTCTCTCCATCTCTCTCTCCCCCGTTTTCTCTCTGTCCCCCTCCATTTTTTTCTCTCTCTCTCTCACACACACTCACACACACAATCTCTCTCCATCTCTCTCTCTCCCCCTCCGTTTTTCTCTCTCTCACACACACTCTCACACAGTCTCTCTTGTCTCTCTCTCTCCGTTTTCTCTCTCTCTCTCTCACATACACATACACAATCTCTCTCTGTCTTTCTCTCCCTCCTCTCTCTTTCTCTCTCACACACACACACACATATACACACACAATCTCTCTCTGTCTCTGTCTCCCTCCATTTTCTCTCTCCCTCTCCCACAATCTCTCTCTCCGTCTCTTTCTCTCTCTCTCTCTCTCTCTCTCTCTCTCTCTCTCTCTCACACACACACACACACAATCTCTCTCTGTCTCTATTCTCTCTTTCTCTCTCTCTCTCTCTCACACATACACATACACACACAATCTCTCTCTCTGTCTCTCTCACACACACAGACACACAGACACACACACACACACACACACACACACACACACACACACACACACACGCACATAGAGTCCATGAGGACAACACCAGTAGTTGGTATTTCCAGAAGTCAGCTCTTCTGAGGAAAACTAATAAATGCCTAAGTAGGTGACGACCTGCCCAGCCAGCCAGCGGCTCCCCTTCAGAAGCGCTCAGCCTTTGGTGAGGGGGCCATCCTCTCATCTGATTCTGAAATGAACCCCTCCCACATTGTTAGTCCTTTCATGAAACACTTGAAGCCACATTGGCTCTAATAGGCATTCTTTACAATCTCTGTGTTCCCCCTTCTTCCATTTAGCTTTTCAGCTGTTTTTTTTTAAGTCTTTTTTATCCCCCCATGTGCTTTCATGATGCATCTGCTTCCCTGTGAGCCCTCCCCCCAACCCCTTCCTCAGCATCAATCACCTGGGAAGCTCTGAGTGGGGGAAGGGCCAGGACAGCTGGACGAGCTCAGGTGTGAACAATCAGATGCTCGTGAAGCTAACACTTGCATGCAGAACGGCCCACGTCCAATGCAAAGCCACTGCCCGCTCAGATCCACAAGCACCCAATTTCACTTTGGCTGACCACAACACCAGGGTCTTTGGGTGGCAATTCTCTTAGACATTTTCCAAATGGAGTCTAGCTTCCTGAACACCCTCAGATTCTAGGTATGCATCACTCAGTATACAAAGCGTCTGTATTTAAGCTCTAGCCCCCTTCTAGACTACAAATTTCAAGGGGGCAGGGAACAAATCCCAGTGAATCTTCTCTCCCTCAGTGCCTAGCAAGCACTCTCTGCAGGTAGTAAGCGCTGAATGTTTGTTGACATTGATGTTACAGTTGATAATGGAACACAAGAGTTCTCTAATTCCCCCTACTCAAACATGGCACCCCTTGGGAGCGCTGATTTATGCCACAACTCACAACCTATGCCTGAGCAGGTCCCTTCACCTTACGTCTGAGGCCTTTTCTGAGCCCTCCCTGCTCAAGGTTACCATTTACCCACTTCTTGAAAATATTTCTTTATGGGAATGGCTCCCCCATTAGAATGGAAGCCCCTGAAGGCAGGGGTTATTTTGATTTTTTTCTTTGTGCCCCCCAGTGCCTAGCACAGTGTTTAGTATACAGCTGAGCTCTAATGAATCTTTGTTGATAGACAGAGTTTGCCTTTCTAGATCACAGATGCCCTGTTTGGTTTCTCTGAGAATGAGGAGTGATGAATGGGAGGCAGAAGGTGGAGGCCTGAAGTCAGAAGACCTAGGTTCAAATCCCATCTCTTACACTTACTACTACCTGTGTAACCTTGACCAAATCACTTCACTTCCTGGGCTTCAGTTTCCCCCTTTATAATTTAAGAAGGCTGGATTAAGTTGGCCTCAAACAGAGCCTTCCAGCTCTGGTTCTGCCATCCTGTGGAGAAGAGATTCATGCTTTGCTCAGGGGATCTGGACTAAATGAATGCCAATGGGTAACTGGTGGGTTTTCAAGTCACCTCTACAGAAGACTTATTTCCAAGTCAGCACAAAAGTTTTATAGTCTTGTGTGAAGAAGGTTATGTTATTTTCTTGTGGAAGTGGAAGTGGGGGAGAGGGAGAGGGAAGGAGAGAGAGAAAGAGAGAGAGAGAGAGAGAGAGAGAGAGAGAGAGAGAGAGAGAGAGAGAGAGAGAGAGAGAGAGAGAGAAGGGAGAGAGAAAGGAGGGAAGAAAGGAGAGAGAGAGAGGAAGGGAGAAGGGGAGAGAGAGGAGGGAAGACAGAAGGAAGGAAAGGAGAGGGAGAGAGAAAAGACAGGAAAGGGGGAGAGAAAGGAGGGAAGAGAGAATGGAGGAAAGGAGAGAGAGAGAGAGAGAGAGAGGGAGAGAGAGAGAGAGAGAGAGAGAGAGAGAGAGAGAGAGAGAGAAAGGGAGTGGGAGGGAGGGAGAGAGAGAGAAGGGAAGAGAAAGAGGGAGAAAGGAGGGAAGAGAAAGAAGGGAAGAAAGAAGAGGGGGAAAGGAGGGAGAGAAGAAGAGAGAGAAGAGAAGAAAGGGGTGAGAGAGAAAGAGAGAAGGGGAGAGAAAAGGGAGGGAGAAAGAGAGAGAGAGAGAAAGAGACACAAAGAAGAGAGAGATAGAAGGGAGGAGAAGGATGGGGAAAGAGAGAGAGAAGAGGGGAGAGAGAGAGAAGGGAGGAAAGGGGAAAGAAGGGGGAGAGAGAGACAGAGACAGAGAGAGAGGCAGAGAGAGGAGAGATGAGAGAGGGAGAGGCAGGGGCCGTCTATGGGGAGTGTGACTGCTGTTACTAAGGAGTCACTGGCAGAAGACTCCGGGGACAGGCTTTCAGAAAGGGGAAGCCAGAAAACAACCTGGATGTTTTGCATTTCTCTTATGTCCAAGTGGAGTTTCTAATAAATGCTTTTTGGTTGACTGACTGATGGGTATAGAGGCCAGGAGGAAAACACAGCAATCATTCTAAGGGTTGACGTAGCTCAGTAAGTTAAAAAAACAAACAACCCGACTCCAGAAGAATGATGGCCATCAGATCTGGCAATTATTGGCTCACCTGGGAACTCTGAGGAGAGCCATCTTAGCTAAGTGATGAGGTCAGAAGCCAAACTGCAAAGGGGTGAGTGAAGAGTGAGAGAAGAAATGAAGGCAATGGATGTGGACAGCTTTTTCTAGGAGTTTGGCTGCTAAATGGAAGGAAGATATAGGCTTGAGGGGACGTTCGGGGCTGGTCAAGGCTCTTTAAGGATGAGGAAGACTTGGGTATTTTTGAAGGCAATAGGTAGGGGAGCAGGAGAGAGGAAGAGATGGAAGATTCGATTGAGGGGGATGATTTAGGTTATAACCTGCCGAAGAAGATGGGAGAGGAAGGGATAAAGGGGGGCAAATAGAGGGATCGGCCTTGGTACACAGAAGGGCCTTCTCCTGGTCAGAAACTAAGGAAAAGGAGGAGAGAGTTAGAGGAGGGGTTGATGTCAAGGAGTTTTAAGATGAAGAGAAGGGAAGAAAAAGGCATTTATATCAAATGATGAAATAAGAAACAGCTCCTTCCCCCAGACAGCTTATGTTTAGTTGGGTGATTAGACATGTAGAAACATTATTGTCATAAAAACAGAATATGACAAATGCTTAAAAAAATAAAAAAGAGGTGATGAGATATCTGGGTAAGAAGGAAGGAAAGATGGAAGGAAGGAAAGAAAGCCTTATAGCTCGACGTGGGGACATTAGGGAAGAAGTGGTAGTGACCTTGGGCCTTGACAGAAGAAAAAGTCTTCACTTAGAAAGGGAGGTGGGAGGGAGGATTCTGGGAAGATGGTAGAGTAGGTCAGAAAATTCCAAGCTCTCCAGACTTCCCCCACAAACAAAATAGCGCCTCAGAGCGAATGTAGAGTGGTAAAATAAAATAAATATAAATATAGATATGTAATAAAATAAATATAAAAAATAAAATAAAATAAAATAAATAAACAAGAGTTGGGGCAGAACAGTGGTCCTCCTGGGACAACCAGAGAAGATCTGAAGAAAAATCCCAGGACTGAGGTTTGGTCCCTTGACTTGTGAACAAAGAGAGATACGCAATGACAAAAAAAGGCAGGACGAGATGTGGAGGCCACAGGAGGATTCTAGTCTAGCCGAAGCGTAGAGCACCGCCAAGGAGGAATGAGAAATTACATGAAACCCGGAGTACAGGCCGCCTAGGAAGGGCCTCGAAGAAGAGATGACAGAATTTATATACTCGGCCATGAAACAGCCTCCTTCGGTGACCGGACAGACCATGAGACTGGGGAGGGGGTACAATGGGTGCCAGCTTCAAAAGGCACAGTGCCACCAGCTGCTGGCCCTGGCCCTGCCACTCACTGGGCACAAGCCTCACCTAGGATTACCAAGGGCATTATGAGAATCTGGAGGGCTCCCCTATTCAGAAAAGATTCAAACTTCGCATTAAAAAACAACAGCCAACATTTTTCAAACTCTTTAAGGTTTCCAAAGTGCCTTCCTCAGGACGACCCCACAAGGTAAAGCTGGGCCAGGATTGCTCCCCTAAAAGAGGACCTGAGCTGTCTGAGGGCAGTGGGAATGCTTTCCCACAACCCACCAAAACTCCCTGAACAGGGAAGTCCTAGGGATCTAGCCGAAGAACCAAGATGAAGTCACTAGGCCCCAGTCAGTAAGACTCCCCAGGCCCAAGGCCAGAAATCACCCCACTGCCTCGCACGGCCTCGAGGTGGGACGGGAGGGCCACGGAGAGCACCCCAATTTTCAAGAGGAGCCCGCCTGTCAGGAACGTTCTGGGAGGGAGTCCTTTTATTCAGAGGTTAGAGCACACGGCTTCCCCGGTCCCTTCCACCGCTCAAACCCTGTGACCCAAGCCCACTCTGGGGAACACTTCTAGCAAATACACACACTCACGCCAAGCAGCGAGCCAGGGCTCATGCTTACCTTTCTCTTCTCTTCGTCAGCAGGGTCAAACTTGAAAGTAGCCCTGTGCTGTGGGGAAAAAGAAACCACACGTCATCCTAAGGGAACAGAAGTAACTTGGGAGGCTCCCACAAAAAAGACCCGTCAAACAAGCCACTGGGAAACAGCTGTCCTTTTTTGTCCTATGGGGGGGGGATGACGGGAAAACTCAGGACTTTTCCTATTTCCTTTTTTTTTTTTGAAAAGAATTCTTTTTCATAAGATGGTTCTCAAGAGGGGGGGACTGGGATGGGGCCTAGGTGATTTCAAAACACAAGATAGCAATAAAAATCTGTTGAGGGTTTTTTTAATGTAGGAGAAAGGACAGAAAACCTGGGACTTCATTTTTAAAGGAGAAAAGTGTCCATGTATCAGCCAATAAGCGATAAAAACAGCAAATTACATTTTGAAAATGCCTTCCAGTTTACAAAGGGCTTTCCCAACGGTGTCTCTTTGGAGTTTTCCCTAAGTGCTCTGAAACAGGTGAGCACAGGACTGGAGCATCCCTCAAGCTGGAAGGGACATCTTGCCCAACCATCTCATTTTAGAAAAGAGGAAACTGATCCTCGAGGAGGTGGGGTGATCTGTGCAAGGTCACCCAGCTAGTAAGGAGGAGAGATAAGACACGAACCCAGGTCCCCTCTCATTCCAGAGCCAGCCATATTTCATTATCACCATTTTAAATAAGATAGGACTAGCTGTGTGACTCTGGGCAAGTCACTTAACCCCAACCGCCTCATGCAAAAACAAACAAACAAACAATAAATAAATAAGACAGGGAAACCAAGGGAGAGTCAGTGAGAGGAAGAGACTTGGTTCCAGGCTTCAAAGCAAGTTAGGGCCAGGACCAAAGACCTGTAAGTCAGTGCTCTTTCCACTATACTACAGTGCTCTTTCTCAAGGACCTACTGTGTGCCCAGCACCGTACCAAGGGCTTTGGTGATACAGAAGCAGCAGGAGACTTGGTTCCTGCCTTCAAGGGTCTAAAAACTGATGATGATGATAACAGGCCCAGAAAAGTGAAATCACAGGCCTGCGATCACTTCCACAAGCTTGCCCTTTACGGGTTGTTCTCAAAGAAGAACATGACATAAGTTAAGGAACAGCCTGTGTTTATGAATGGACTTTCTTTTCAACTCCATAGGGTGTGCACATACATAACTCCACAGCTTAAAGGGAGGCGGGGGAGAGGAGAGCTCTTTCAGAAGAGTGGAGCTGAAATACTGGCTCCATCACCATGTCCAACATGACCAACGAAATGGGCTTCGGATTCCTTATCCACTAGGGGGATGCACTGGATGTCTTCCAAGGGTCCCCCCAGCTCTAAACACATGGCCTGTTATCTTCCGGAGGCTCCCACATCTCCCTCTCCATCCTACGGCTGGAGGAACATGAAGAACCAGTGATGAGCACAGGGGCTCACTCAGTGCCACAGTGTGTGATAACACACAAAAAAACAACAAGACTTCTAAGGCCAGGCCAAGGGCTTTCTCCAGAAGACCAAAAAACTAGGAATTCTCAAGTACTTCAGGCTTTCAACTGAAATTTGGTTCAATTTCTATCTTTCCGTCGTGTTTTCTCAGTTAGTTCAAGAACAAGTATTTGCTGACGCCATCTTGGATGTCTGGAACTTGCGGATTACAGGTACTGTCAAGTCAAGAAGCATTTATTAAACACCTACTATGTGTCAGGCACTATGCTAAGAGCTGGGGATACAAAGAAAGGCAAAAAAACATGGTCCCTGACCTTGGGGAGCTTACATTCTAACGAGACAGACAAAATGCAAGCAATTATGTACCAACTGTATACACACAGAAAGGAAATTGGAGATGATGAACAGAGGGAGGGCCCTGACATTAAGGTAGCTGGGAAAGTTATCAGTTACATGGCAAACAGAGCTAGCTTTTGAATAGACAATCCAAATTCAAATCAGCACTCCAAGAATTCCTAGTTGTGTGACTTTGTGTCTTAATAAAAATGATCAAGGCAAGAGATTGATAGTGTATAATGAATACTTGGGAGGCATTTCTTCTAATTTAGCAGGTGTCTTCCTTTCCCACAAGGCTTGTATTTCTCTGTCCCTTCTCTCCGAATGCCAAGAGGTTCCATAAAAACACTCACTTGGCATTCGGGCACCTTCGCGTCTAACGGCTAACTTAGACCAAGAGCCATTTGGTTTGTGGTAATAAAATGGACACTGGGGTAGCTGACATAGTAGGCTGGCCTGGGTTCCAAGAAGCTATTATTGCTTTGGTTGCTTTTTAAAGGTGAGGGTGTTCCTTTCACATCTTCAGTATGAACCACTGAAAAGATTGGCGGTGACATAAAGCCTCTGACTCCTATTAGGAGGCTCAATTTAATGAAAACTATATAGTGGTATGTGAGACAATACAAACTGTATTTTGAATGTACTAATCCATTTGCCAAAACTGTATCTGATGCAAAAGTTCTTTGCATCTACATCTGGGCTTTAGGGGCCAGAAGAGGTCAGACTCCCAAGTCTGGCTTGTTTTAACCATCCTCAGTCCTTCATCTCTTAAGTGACTCTTTCTCTCCACTCCTGCCCACGTCCAGAGAGAGGAGAGCAGAAGAGAAGGGAAGGTGAAGGAGGAAATCCCCAAAGGGCATCTCTTTCCGTGAAAGTGTGCGGGGCATGTCAGTTAGTAACCGACAATCACGTGTCCTCCATATATCCAAAGTGCTTGGCTTTGAGATGATTCAGGTGGGGTCATAGAGAAAAAAAGAAGGGCTCAGGACCTAATCATTGTTCAACCAAGGGATTCCATGAAGATGAGCTGGAGTCCACCTGCAGGGAGACCCTGCTGCAATGGCCTTCACCAATCCCCACTGGATTTCCCACTAAGCCCAAGATGAAGTCATTTCTGGGCCCCTGCTCTTACCTGATGGACTCTGCCACCTACACAATGTAACAGGCTGATTCTTTTGCTTTTATGAGAAGTGCCCAAACCAGAGTTGATGTCTCTGTTTTTCCTCATCTCCCAATTTTCTGAGTAAGCAGCCCATGTAAAGATGTCAGCTAAGACCTGCTTTAGTCACTGCACGCATCCACCTTTCCCTCTGGATTTTCTTCCAGGTTGAAGCAGAGGCCAGGTGACACCAATAAATGCTAATCAATCCACCTGCGCTATGAGGGGGAAGGGGTGTCATGCTGACCCACTTCCCAAGTGGAGGGAGAGGTCCAGGCCCAGAAAGGTGATGAGCCACTGAGTTCCCCAAAAGATGACAGCAAACAGAATGAGTGGCCCACTAAGCCCGCCTTGCGTGGCAACCTTTAAGCTTCCACCAAAGCTCACTGCCTGGCTTCAGTAACAGAGCTGGAAAGCAGATGCCCTTTGACGTAGTTATCTGGATGCAGGCTGCTCTGGCCTAAGTCACAGGCTGTGTTTCCAGGGCTAACCCCCAGATTAGGGTTTTCCAAACAGTGAGTCAGACGCACCAGCAAAGACCTTGCTCTTCTCACTAAAGGAGGGTTTCCCCTGTGGCCTGGGTTCTTCGACAAGACTGGCCCCTAGGCTCACTCCTGCCCAACTATCTTTTAAGCCCTTGCTTCCCAAGACCAGACACCCCTTCCTCCTCCTCACTTGGAACCTTATGGAAGCAGAAACAAGGCACCTGGATTCAAATCCTGATTCTGAACAAGTTGAAATCTGACCTTTCCAAGCTAAATAAATGATCCTGTGACCCCTGCTGGGGAAATCCACAGGCAATCAACAATGCCCTCTTTGTAAGAGAAAGGGGGGGTGACAGAAGGGAGAGCAGATCAGGGGCAAGGGGATTCAGAACCCATGCCATCTTGGGGTGGGGGGAGGGGCAAGATGGGGAGAAAATCTGGAACTCAAAATCTTGTGAAGTGAATGTTGAAAACTAAAAATAAATATATTAATAAATGTTTAATAGAAAAAATTTAAAAAAGAAGAGGAAAAAAATAGATGTAGAGCTAGTTCATAGGTCATTTAGTCTATTCCTCACATTTTAGGAAACAGGACCAGGATGGCTGTGACTTGCCTAAGGTCACATAAATGGTAAACACCTGAGCTAGGATCTGAACTCATATCCCTTGATGCCAAACTCAACATTTTTTGCTTTGTCCAATATTGCTTTATTGTGATTCTTCCCAGATAAAGTAAAATAATTTATCTAATAAAAATTTATTGAACATTACAAAAACAAAAAAAGAAAACAACACCTCCCTCGGCTGCTACAAAGTGTCTCCCACGAGACAGGGTTTAATGAATAAATGAATGAATGAAAATCGACGCATTAAACTCTTTCTAGGTGCCAAATACCGTGCTAAGCATTAAGGGCACAAACAGGAAAAAAAGAGTTTCTCCTCAAAGAGCTCACATTCCGATTGAGGGAGCTAGCAATAGAAGCAGGGTCCGCTGCTGAGCCGACGGAAAGGCCTAGAGGTCCCAAGTGTGGACGGCAAGGCCCAAGAGCCTGGGGTCCTCAACGGAGCAAACGCCTTCCTAAAGGTTGTTATTCTCCTCTCCTGTTGCATCAGCACCCACCCGGCGTCTGAGATAAACACAAATTTCCCCCTTTACTCACAGTCTGGCTTGAAGAGAGTCCTTTCCCCTTTTCAAGAGGCATATTCTCAGGGTTTATAAAAAAAAAAAAAGACCCACACATTTTACTAGGCAACTGGGTGGGGAGAATAAAACAAAGTGAATGAAATTTAGAACTGTTACCTTCACAAAGGTACACAGAGATTTTTCAGCTCACCCTAGGTCTCAGGACCAATTCACCACAACATGTCCCAGGAACAAATATGGCAGCCCACTGACTCCCCTGGTGGTGCAGCCAGAGGCTTGGACACTTCCTGTGCAGCTTGGATAAGTCACATCCCCGATCTCGCTTCATCGACGAAATGAACGAGGGGCAGAGTTTGGACTGAACGATCTCCTGGGTCCCATCAAACTCCACATGTACGATCCTATATTTCTCACTAGCTCTGTACTAAAGCATTGCTTTCAAAGGTCTCTGGAAATCCGTGTATTCTGTCTCAG